TTCGATCTGCTTGGCTGATGTTTGGTGCTATGAGAACGATGTCGTCAGTAAAGCGAAGATGGCTTAATTGTCGACCGTCAATTTTCACTCCCATATCGTCCCATTCTAATGTTCGCATGACGTTTTGTAGGGTGGCAGTGAATAATTTTGTCGAAATTGTATCGCCTTGTCGAACCCCTCTTCTTGCGTCAATGGTGATATTGTTGTAGAATGGAAATAATTTGGTCGTGAATCTGTGTCAAGCTCACGAAGGATCTCTATGTACCGAGTAGGGACGCCCTGATTATCCAGAGCCTCTATAACTGCTTTTGTCTTCACTGAATCAAAGGTTTTTTTCAGATCGATGAAAGTGAGACAGAGTGGTTGCTTGTACTCTCGTGAAACTTCAATGAGTCTTGTAATCGTGTGGATGTAGTTTGTGGTACTAAATCCTTTTCGAAACCTTGCTTGTTCGCATGGCTGTCCTTCGTCCAATGTTCCATCAATCCTGTTCAGGATGACTCGAGTAAGAGTTTTTAGACAACGGACAGCAAGCAGAGTGGGCGATAGTAGCCTATGTCGTGAAGATCTCCTTTTGTGTACAACAATACGGTTTTGCTAGTTTTCCATTGAATGGGAATATTGCATTCTGACAGGTAGCGAGTGAAGAGCCGAGCCAGGGTGTTGATGAGAACTGACGGCATGTTGTTCAGGTTTTCTGGTCTAATCCTGTTTAGACTGGGTGTTGTTCTGTCCTTCACCGACCATATAGCATGTCGGATTTTGGAAGGTAGGACCGTTGGAACGACATATTCATCCTCTTTCAATTTATGTGACGGTAAGAGGACATGGCTAGCGAAGAGATCCGAGTAGTACTGGTCTATAATTTTCTCCATAGCCCTTCTCGAAGCTGTAAGTGTCCCGTCAGGGTATCGTTATGCAATCATGCTGATCTTATAGTTGGCGAAGCTTCGCTAGGCTTTTTGAATGCTCTTTCCAGCATCTGTAGGTTCTGCCATAACTGCTGCTCGTCTCTCTTTGAGTCTTCTTTAATCGCCTCTCTGCAGCGTTTCGCAAGTTCGAGCGTAAGGTTTCGATTGCCTTTAGCTCGTACGATTCCGCGTTGACGTATCAGCGCAAATGTCTACGGAGACAAGCGTCGCTTCGTGGCCTTAGGACTCTCGTCTTTTATAACGTTAACGCGAAGATAACAACGAGTCGATTGTATTCTTCGTCGACGCTGTCGAGAACGGTATCTTCCCAAGAGCCGACTAATGCTTGAATACATCCCAGTTTATGGTAGTTGTGGGACTTCGTTGTTCAAATTTAGCGGCTTTCTCTCTTTTCCGCGAAAAACGGAACGTTGCGCGAAGGAGGCGATGGTCTGATCCCGTGTAGAACTTAAGAATAACAGCGACATCGGTTAGGCAAAGTCTTCGAGTTACTAGGATGTGGTCTATTTCGTTATTGTACTCTCCATTGGGAGACTCCCATGTCCATCGCTGAGACTGAGGCTTTTGGAATTGTGAGTTTCCATGGATTGTTTGGTTCGTCATGATAAACTCAGATAGCCTCTCACCCTGTTCATTCCATTCTAGTCTGTGGGTCTCAATGTGGCGTTCTTCAGACGTTCTTCAAGGTCCAATTTTTGCATTAAAATCTCCGGCAATGATATTGAAGAATGTATGATCTTCTCTGAAGAATTTTTCGAGGTCCATATAGAACGCTTCGACTTCGTCTCCGTCATAGCTTGATGTTGATGCGTAAGCAACGAAGATTGTCAAAGCCGACATAGAACCATATCTTTTCACCGTAATGGTTTGATACGGATTGTTAGCTGTTTGAACGAATCGATGTTCACGGTCAAATTCGATTTGACGAGGACGTCAACGCTATTGACACCTCTGCTATCGCATGTTCCAAGGAACAGTTCTTCTCCGGTGTCATAAACAGCGTGAGAAGGATGGCGCTTTCTCGTTTTAGGCACGCCAATGACGTCGTACCTTATCCTTCTTGTTTGAATCAATAGATCTTCTACAGCGGATTTGTGAGCAAAGTTTTTGCATTATAAGTACAGATCGTCATTTTAGATCGTTTCGATCTTGGCAGCCTAGTTTGGCCCTGAGATTTTAGCAGCCCCTCCGTACTCGTCCTACCTGGTGCTGCCTTACCAGGGGCTCTTTCGTGGTCAGGGGAATGAGGCCCATATTTGTTACTGTTTTTGGCATTTTGATATCCAACGTATAGCTTTCCAGGCTCTAAACGTAGACGCTGGATACTCACGAGTAGTTTGCCAGTCTTTCTCGGAGAAGCGAAAGGAGCTTATTTCTTAGAGGCGACTCCTAACCGCCTTCCATGTACTTCCCAGCCGCTTGATTGCAGGCTTTTAGCCGACTTGAGTCGTAGAAATAGAGCTTTGTCAAGTCGGCGCTGTGGGAGCAGTGAGCTCACCCCTGAATCCACCTGCATTTCTGGGAAGCACACGGTCGCTTTTGATTCGCGTTTATTCCCCTATCCACCACCTGGAGACGCGCCACGTGCCCTCGCGACTAACCGGGCGAGATCCCTCAAGGAGGGAGGTCCGTGGCAGACACTCATAGGAAACAAAATATATGGGAGCAGATTTTAACGTTACGTTCACGGTCTTTGTACAGGATTAAAAGACACCCACTTCTGAAACTCTAAGGCCTTTTGAATTTATAGTAATATCCCAGAAATGAGCCTTAACGAACAGTGCCTGGCAATAACGCGCAACCTCTCACCATACCTTAGGCTAATCACCTCGGCTTCAGTTACTTACAGCCTTACTCATGCACTGACTCTTAGCGGATAGTCTTCAATGAATAATTGAAAAGACCTAAAACTTTAAGACAATGAGTGTTTCAAAAAATGCAGTTTTTTACTATGCGATCCAAAATTCGTTTCTTTAGTTTTTCTGTTGAGGTTATGGAGGTCTTTGATTAAGTATATTGCGGATCAGTTTGACCTTTCCAGACTTTGGAGAAGGCTAGTCTCGCCGAAGCACTAGCTACTGCAAGATTATGGAATTGCTTGTGTTGCAATACTACATTGTATTATTGTATTGCATCACTGATATTCAATAAATACTGTGATTTTTTTCTGATTAGGAGGGAACAAATGAAAAAGCGATCTCATTCGCTGGAGAAAGACTTTTCATGGGGAGTTAGTAACGATTCGAAAGCTGAGACTTGAAACAACGTCTCCACGTCACCGCTCTTTTAAAACACCACTTTGTAATGTTGCAACATCCAGACCAAAAATTCTGTCTCACACTCGCTTTTTGCCCCCATTGTTTTCGCGCGTATGATTCGTTGGAAGTCAGAAAGTTTATCAATGTGAAGGAAAATTTTCGTAGTATCTCAATCGATTGTTTTATTTAGAGTTTCTTTGAAAATGGAAGAAAAATTCCCAATTGAATAACAAAATGTTAATCGTCTCGCCTCTCCTAGCTTCTTGCCACACCTTCTGCCACGGCCACGCTTTGTCGAATAGCATGTAAACAACGTTACCAAAAATGTAAAACTCTATCTTATTTTCCCAACTAAACCGTATTTTCAAAAACTAAACACATCCCTAAAATCACAAAATATTACGCTGTCAGATGATTACTATTAGTCCAAAGAAAGAGCTCTTCCCGCAGAGGTTTGAAGCACAAATCAAAAAGCCAGAGGAGATCAGAGAGGCCTTCTCGAAAACCAAACAGATTTTTGAGTTTTTTGAAGCTAGTGCTATAGTTTGAGTATTAGCATTCTGAAAAAGGAGTTTTGTCTAGCGAAATATAGACGACATAAGAGAGAAAACACGTGATCTCTTGATACTTGATTATATTTGGAATGTTAGAGCATTATAAAGGGGTCTTTCAAAAAAAAAAAAACGGCGACATCGGGTTGTAGCCTCAAGTCTCATTTTTCGAATGGTTACTAACACTCCTATGATAAAGTCTTCTCCAGCGAATGGGATCGATTTTTCTTTCGCTCCCTCCTAGTCAGAAAGAATCAATACTATTATTAACACCTCGGAACTGCCTAGAAGAAAAAAATAGTGATTTATAGTGGACGAAACAGCGAACCTGCCCACCTTCACTCATGCATCCTTACTCCTTTACCTATGAATTTCTTGACAAAAGTGCTACGCTGTCTTCATTTGCAAGATTAAGCATCATCGTCATTACATTTTTGATGTGCACAATTGACTTCATGAAGGAAAACAATGAGGCATTTCTGTTCTAACAAATTCATTTTAGCCGATATACAATCATTTCGGGGTAAATTTAGAAAAATCTTGTGCTGCAAAAATGGCCTTATCTTATGTGTGTTTCGTGAAAGAAACTGGATGGTTCTTGTGTTCAATTTTATTATTTATGTTATCTGCACCACATTCCACCTGTGACGCACGTGTAACGTTTTTCGGTAAGTTCAGCCTGGCTGAAATGAAAGTACGAATATCCATTTCATGAAGCAGTCAATCCAATTAATTTTATGTACATATAGTTGCGCAATAATTATGAGAAATATACGGTAAGTTGGAGGATGAAGGTGTAACATTGTTATAGGTGAAATTGCGCGACAAAACCTACATTCATAGTGATCTTGGTCTTCGTCTGAAGTAAGAATATTGGAAATTCATCTCAGAGCTGTATAATCATGGCATTAATATAACCTATATCACGTTTCGGATTGCGGTTAGATGATTTTGCGTGAGACTTTGTTTTTCTTGCATAGGGAATGTAGTTGTGGAGATTACTCAGAATAATTTATGGGTGCTAGAAAATGCGACTTCTAACGGAGGATTCGATGGATTCGAATCCACAATTTTCTACTTCATTGGCAGAGACGTATCAGTGGCACTGTATGGTGGTCTTTCTGTTTGTATGGCCCTCAGTCCGAATGGTAGTATTTGAAAAGAGTATAAAGGAGGACCATGCTGATATTCTGCAAAGTTCCCGAGGATAGCTTGAAGACTACATTTGTGCTCCAAGATGCGGCATGAAAAAAACGTTGCGACCACGGCACGATTCGAATCTGCAATCTTTTGCTCCGTACGCACACGCGTTACCTATTGCGCCACGCGGTAAAGTGTGCTTTGCAAGCATTGCTCATTTATCAATTCCTAAGAGACGGCTATGGAAATCGATGCGCGCGGAGCAAAATACCCATTTTCGCTATCTAATTAACGTTTTTTGGCCATTTTAGAGGAATTTTTAACAATCTTGTTTCACTTTGATAGGGAAAAATTTCTTCTTTTCGCTCATTTGATTTTGGTCTAGATATATGCGTCTTGTATGAAGAAAGACGTTGGTTCATTACGGAGTTATGTTAAATTTGACAATTTGCCAGCTGTATTGTTTTGTATGGAGGTCATCACAGTAATAAAACGCTAAGTTTGATCTATCACAGTTTTATACAAGACCCAAGAGCCATCATAGTGAATGAAAATGAAATTAATGAGTAATTTACAACAGAAATGATAATGCATGCTGTCTCGATGCTAGTTCATCGATAACTCTCACCATAATTGAGTTTATATCAATCATTCGTTTTTTTTTCAATTATTCAGAGTTGAGGTAAGCGAGAAAAGTTTGAGCACTTATGAATGGTGGAAAAATTCTGAGCGGTAAGGGGCAGTCGTATTTGAATAGAAAGCATAGAACATCTGCATTATGCAAACTATTGGTAAGAAATATGTGTCTACAGAGAAGCAAGCATTCTCGGTACTTCTCCCCAATCAACTCAAAAATAAGAACAGTGTTTTTTATGCTTTTTCGAGACTTTAGTCACCAATCAACAGATTGAATATCGAGAATCTGAAGGCTGTAATCTATTTTTCATATAGCTTTCTATTATGGTGTAAAGGCGAATTAAGATTTTTCGGTATTTACAGTTAGACAGCGACAGATTTTTGAATGCCAAATTGAATAACAATATTTCAAACGCGATCGGTCGTTCCACTCCGTCCCCGTTCCCCCGCTCCTCGAGTAAGCCGGTAAGCAAAGGCGTCGAAAAGGTTCACAGCTGAGCAAAATGTGAAGGCAAGTCACAGCAACGACTTGTTAGTAAGATAGTTACCTCCTCTACCGCGTAACTAGACAGTGGTCTGACCCATTACGCATTAAAACGGCGGCACTTACTGTTATTTTGATAAGGATTTTTCTTACTGCATCGACAGAAACTTGAAATTAAAACGCGTGATTTTGACATAGCGGAAATTCTCCACACGCTGACATACTTTTCGCTCTTGCAGCAATTTACACTCGTGGTAAAAATGCATGAGAAATGCGAGTGAAAAACAAATTCTTTTTGGATGCTACAATGTTATAAAATGGTGTCATAAAACACCAGCAACGCATAGTTGTAGGCAGAGATTTGAGTTTTCGAATAACTACAAATACTCTTATGAAAACTGCCTGCTTAGCAAATGAGAGTGGTTTAAGAATTTATCACCGCCTGATATACAAGTGAAAAAATGAGGTACATCTTTTGATTTCCTTTTCACACTCAGGCATCTTTCTCTAAGCAGAGGTTTTCAATCAGATTCTCACTAACCATTCAATAGCACAAATCTCAATAATCTCGATGGTAAGCTTGGTTTTTGAGAGGGTAAAAGATCATTGAGTGTCGCACTCTGCGCCTTGTCGGTCGCGCAGCGCAATTTATATGTGGCGTCAGGTGCGCGCCTAGGGTAAGGCTCAATGTTCTTTTAGCTGCAACGACGAACCAAGAAGTCTCTTTCAAAAACTGAGCGTATCCATAGAGATTCTAAGCTAAATTTTCTGAGATTTGTGTTTTCGAAATGCTGCCGAATTTTTTTGAGAAAAGCGTTGCTCACTGAAAGATACTCAACTGTTGGATAACATATTCTTTTCCCTGTTGCAGTGTAATACAGAGACCTTTCAGAAAATGTAGTACATCTTTCAATTTTTTGAGATCTAAGCTATCGAATGTCTGCTAAAATGTCTAAAGAAAGCGAAAAATATGTTTTCTTCGATTACGGGTGCTAATGGGGGAAGTATCGCATTACACGCAATGATGAACGCGCGCTCATCCTACACTCACTCGAGCTACATAATAGAAATACCTCCACATAAAGCTCGATTAAAGATGTTTAGTGTAGAAAATGTGTTTTCAAGCTACGTTCTCGCAAGACAGGCGATACAAATGTTCTGTAAGGGCTGCAAGTTCATTTTTGTACAAGGATGTGATATTACCGCTGAAAAATGAAGGATTTCAAGAAGAGTAGTCACTCTTTGCATCAGAAAAACTTCGTAGAAAGTTCATTCGAGATATTCCATTCTTTATGTAGCGATAAGGCACCTCTGAATTATAAACTTCACCTGTAGTTACCAATATACCACCTATGACGCCCGAGCGGCGGGGCAACATTTTAGGAGTGAAATGTGATCTTCTTTTCATTCTTACGGCATTATATGGCAGACTTTCAAAGAAGCCAATTTCGTGGTAGGAATGATCTCGATTTCGGCTAACTAATCAATACTAAAATTTGAGTGAAGAGCCATATAGTGGTCCCAGCCGAGCAAATGAAGAAAATGAGTGTGAAAACAATTTTATTTTCGCTGTTACAGCGTAATAAAAAGCTTTTATCTGAAGCTTAACGGGTTTTTGGGATTGCGGAGATTTGTGCTATCGAATGATTACTAAATCTCTAGGAGAAAACGTTTTCTGCGGTAAGGGAGGCCTCCAAACACTCGTGTATCTGAGCTGGTACACGTCGTCTCTTAGAGATTAGCCAACTTTCGCCACAACCTAGTATTACGTTGATTGATTATGCATGGTTGAGAGAACCTTTATTTGTATAGAGTTTCAAAGTAGGGATTCTTACACCAACGCGGTCAACCAAGCTAAGATGTCAGACGTTTCTCCAGATGGCTAGCGAGAAGTAGATCAATGAGAATCCATAGTCCGGAAAGCTTTCCTTAGTGACTTTCCTATAAATGACAAGAAAGACTTTTGATCAAATATATGATGTTATCTGAATACTAAGAGCAAGCGGCTCCCACTGATCAATCGTGATTCATGTGGGAAAAGATTTGTGAAGGCTCATGGGAGTGGGTGTCATGACCGACCCAATCCATCATACTAAATGTTTGACTAATGTACCAGAATAAGATTTCTCTAAAGGTAGCATTCCACTTTTCCAGTTCGAGCACGATGGTGATCGTGTAACACGATCAGCGCCAAAAAAACAAAAATTTTCGTCTATACAGAAAAAAAAATTACATCGTGTGCACGATATTTTTGGCGTGTGTCAGTCAGGTATCAAAAAGACCGACTTCATGCATAGCGGTTGTAGATGGATTGCCCACTAAATAATATTTTTTTCTAATATAATACTATATCTTTTAGAGGTCGGACTTAATTCCCAGCCTATAAGGATTTAAATAGAGCGCCCAATACTGATCACCTTGAGGGGTATGCCAAGAACTTAAGTGCACCGAAGGCATCGTTATAGTCATCGCATGACATTTGAATTGCCCACAGCCCTTTTGAAGCTCTACACTGAGGAAATGAAACATTGTTATTTTCCCCGAGACGTTCAATGCCAATTTTGCGATCTTGAAGAGGTAGCGAGTGTAATATATCATGTGAGACAGGTTAGACCAAAGATCAAATATAATTTGCAAAGCACTTTTAACCGCTGCACCTGTAATGCAGCTTACGCATAATGAAAGGAGTTTTTAATTAGCTGTTAAATTAGTCGGATTGCTGCTTTATCGAATACCGTAAAGAAATGTTATCATCGTTGCTGAACATTTCGCAACAGCTGTTCATTACAAAAAGGATCTGCCGATTGGGTTCAAAGTTATTCCAATATCGTCGTGATGTCTTTGCCGTTTAGAGCTTAACGATCCCAGTCGATTTCATACAGCCATTCGCCTACTTCTTGTTAAATTTCATGGTGGCGACAAATTGAAATTTTCACTGAGTAGTTGAGCAGTTGAAAGACTTACCGATTTATGAAATGGACGCTCTCATTGACTTCAGTCATTATGAATTTTAGACAGGTTCTAGTATCTGAATATTTTACAATGAAAACAGTCAGAAGTCAACGAAAAAACTCAACCTTTCAAATTTTTAATGAATTAATGCTACGTTCACATCGAAACTATTCATTGGGGAATTCCACAACCTGCGTTTGGATGAGATGAAAGCGGTTCTCAATGATATCGTTACTCTTTCACTTTTTGTACAGTATTTCCGTTGCAGTTATCAATTTAAGTCATCCATTACCAAACTTTCCTTGATGAAATTAGTAAATTTTTAGGGTAAAAGATAAGCATGAAAAATGTGATAATGTGACAGATGGACTATCAAGGAAATGAATAAAAGAAGTCTTGAAATTCTTACATAAATTTTCGACGTCTTCGTTCTGGTTAGGGATTGACCGATCCACGATGATAATCCACACTCGAGCAAGGTAGCGGTTCGGTGTTTCTGTGAACAGTGCAATTTATTGTGGCTTACTAGTGAATACATAACTCTCATTCGGTCATCTCTTTACACATACCTACCGTTGATTAGGTGATCACTTGTTGATGAGTTATTGATCATCTGTTTACCATTCATGTTCTCAACCGGTTTATGGATGTTTGAGATATTCCATTCATGCTTAACGTTTGTGAGAGCGCTACACCTCAGCATGTTTTTCGCTTCGCGAAGAAATTGATCACTTTACAACAGTTTTCTCTAATAATTATTCGATTCTTGCCATTATTCTAAATCCAGTAGGTCTTCCAATAGAAATTGTTGCATAGCGTTGACCAATTTCATATAGACTATTGTTCCTGTGAAATATTTCTGAATGAAGTTTCAGAGCCGGTGGATGAGTGTCCAGTGGAGTGGAGCTTGTCGTGATGTTAACCCCAACTCCTGTCAACATCTTACGCCAATCAATAACGAACACCCCACACTTTTTGTTAATGAGATTTCAAGGAGATATGTTTGTTCGTGTTTTAGTAACTCATAAAAAGCAAATCCGCAGTCAGATGGGTAGTTTTGCGTTAAACGGAAACATGAGGAAACGATCCCATCCATATCGCTGAGCGACAACTTTGCGTA